CGCCGAGGACTTCGCCGCGTGAGCCGGCCTCCGGGACGCACGGGCGCGGGGCGGGGGACCTTACGAGACGCCCCGCTAGAGGGCGCCGTGGGGCAGGGCGCCGCAGGCGGCGAGGCACTGGGCCATGCACTGGGCCATGAAGGGGTTCGCGTCGACGAGCGCGGCGACGCGCGCCGCGTCGCCCGCGGGCCCGGCCGGCGCGTCGACCGCCGCGCCCGCCGCGGCGCGGTGCTCGGCCGCCGCCGCGTCGCGGTCGGGGTCCGGCGCGGCGCCCCCGGCCGCGCCGCCGGCGCGGAGCACGTGGTCCCAGAGCGCGTCCCGCGACGCGCCGGGCGGCAGGTCGCCGAGGCGCGGCGGCTCGGGCACGACGGCGACGCCGCCGGGCACGGCCGAGCCCGCGAGGAGCGCCTCGGCCATGGCCGCGGCGGCGCCGGGCAGGGGCCCGGGCGCGGCCGCGCCGCCGAGCGACGCCTCGACGTGGAGCCGGCCGATGAGCGCCGCCTGGTCCGCGACGCGCTTCCGGAGGCCGCCGAGCTCGGCCTCGACGGCGCGGAGCCGGTCGTTCTCCGCGCGGAGCCGCCGGCCCTCCTTCTCGAGCTCGACGACGCGGCGCATCCACGTCGACACGGCGGACGAGCCGCCCGCGGCGGCCTGGCTCAGGTAGCCCGTCGTCTTCTCGAGGCTCGTGATCTCCGCGTTCGTGCGCTTCCAGACGTCGGCGCCGACGAGGGCCTCGGGCGCGCCCGCGGCCGCGCGGTAGTGCGCGGCGCTCGGGAAGAGCGACGGCGCGCGCTTGGCCTTGGCCGCGGCGCCCGGCGCGGCCGCGGCCGCGCGCGCGCGCGGCGCCGCGCGCGGCGCGCGGTCGCCCCGCGGGGCCCGCGCGCCGTCGCCGCGGTCCGCGGCGGCGCCCTTGCGCTTGATCTTGCCGAGGAGGTCCTCGCGGCCGCGGCGGAAGTGCGGGTGCGCGAAGGAGACCGCGCGGTCGCGGCCCGCCGCGGGCACCTTGTGGAAGCAGTACATGTTGAGCAACCGCGTGAACGAGTTGAAGTTCCGGTGGCGGAAGAACTTGGGGCAGACCTCGGCCGCGAAGCGCTGCGGGTCCGCGACGGCGACGGACGCGCCGTCGTCGCCCCAGCGGATCACCGCGGGGTCGCAGACGCGGAGCAAGGTGAAGAGCGTGCGCACGAAGCCCGCGACCTCCTCGGGCGCGGCGGCGCCGGGCTCGGGCCTCGCCCGCTTCTCCGCCGGCGCGCCCTCCGCCTCGGCGGCCTCGGAGACGCCCGCCGCCGCGCGCTTGGCGGCCTTGGGCGCCTGGTCGGCGAGGAACTGCATCGCGGACTCGTGGGCGTGGGGCGCCGGCGGCGGCGGGAGGCCCAGGTCCGACATGGAGTCGCGGCGGAGCGGGGGGGGGACGGTCGGAGGCCGCCGAGCACCGAGGCGGCGGCGTGGGTCGTGCGGTCGACGGCCGCCGAGCACCGAGGCGAGTGTCGTTCGGGGGCAGCCTCGCGCGAACGCTTCCGTGACATCACCGGTCCGTGAAGCAAGAGGTGCCGGCAACGCCGCAAACGTGCCCCCCTCGAGCCATCGAGCCATCCGAGCTTAACGCTGCCCCCGCTGCCCCCCGCCCCCGGCGCTCATGGCGGCGGCGGCGCCGAGCCGGTCGGCGGACGAGGCGATGATCGCGTCGGTCTTCGACGGCGGGTCGTCGGCGGAGGGCCGGAGCGTCGCGTCGCGGGCGACGTCGGCGGCGCCGAGCGAGGTCCTCGACGGCCCGACGCCGGGCCTCGACGCCCTGCGGGACCTGCTCCGCGGCGTCGGCGAGGCCCGGGGCGGGACGCCGGCCGGCGCCGGCGCCGTCGACCGGCTCCGGTCGCGCGCGGCCGCGAGTGCCGGGGCCCGCGCGCCGCGGTCCTGGGACGGCCCGCCGCCCGACGACGCGTCCGACGCCGGCGCCGCCGCGCCGTCGCCGCGCGCGGCGGCCTTCGCCGGCTTCGCGCTCCCCGGCGCCGCCGCGGCGCCGGAGGCGGCGGCGGACCGGGCCAAGCCCTTCCTCGCGCGCATGTACCCGACGCGCGGCCTCGACGCCGTCGCCGCGGCGACGTCGCGCGCCGCGCCGCGAACGGGCGGCGCGACGTCGCGTCGACGCGCGCGCGCCGCGCGCGCGCGTGCCGGAGAGACGCAGCCGCGCGTCGAGGGCGCTCCGAGGGATGATCGCTCGTCCGACCGTCGGCCGACGCGAGCGGACCGCGGCCGAGGGGGGAGCCTTCGGGCGCGGCTTACGCGTTCGCGGCCCAGGTCGCGCGCCGAGCGGCTCGCGGGCGCGCGCGTCGTCAACAAGGAGGCGCTCCTGCGGCGCCGGCGCCGGCTCCTCGCGCGGTCGCGCGCGGGCCTCGGGCCCGCGGCGCCCGCGCGCGACCGGCCGGGCGGCGGCGCGGCGCCGCGCCGAAGTCGACCGCCGGTTCGGGTGGTCCCGACCAACCTTCGGAATTCTCGAGCTCGGTCGAATCGATGTCGATTCGGCCGATTTTCGGACGAATCGATCGCTCTCGTCGAGTCCTCGAAGCACGGCCGAAGAGGTCGCGTCGACCCCGTCGCGTACGCTCGCGTTGAAGTCGGGTGGAAGAGTTGAATTCGGCGCAGGCGCGGTGCTCGACCCGCTCGGCGAGATCCGCACGGCCGTGCTCACGCCGCGCGTCGCCTTCGAGGCCGCCGCGCCGCCCCGGCCCTGGGCGTCCGCCGCCGCCGACGACGAAGGCGACGGCGACGAGCGGCTCGCGGGCCGCGTCGCGCTCACGGGCGCGCGCGTCCGCGAGATCCGCGCGGCCGCGGGCGCCGCGCCGCCGGGCGGCGGCGACGGCGCCGCGCCGCCGGGCGCGGGCGCGCCCCTCGGCGTCGTCCGCGAGTGGCTCGAGTCGTTCGACCGCGAGGAGCGCGGCTTCGGCAGCCTCAGCGTATTCTTCGAGACGCGGCTCCGCGAGGCGCTCGTCCAGAGCGGCGGCGCGGCCGCGCCGGGCCCCGGCCGCGCGCGGTGCGCCATGTGCTGCGACCTGCTCCTCAAGACGCCGCGCGTCTTCGGCCGCTACGCGCCCCTCGTGGCCCACCTCGTCGACGAGGTCCTGCGCTGCGTCTACCGCGACTGGGGCCGCCTCGAGGGCCGCCTCGCCGCGGCGGCGGGCCCCGGCGAGCGGGGCCGCGTCGACGCGGCCGTGCTCTTCCGCGAGCCGACGTTCTTCGACCACGGCGAGGCCATGCGGCGCAAGGCGATCCGGCTCCAGGAGGAGCTCAACGAGCTCACGGAGGGCGCGGGCCTCGTGAAGGTGTTCCGGGACCGGTTCCTGCTCTGGGACGGCCGGAACCTGCTCCTCCGCATGATCCTCTTCCGCGGATGGCTCCGCCACGCGCGCGTCATGGCCGGCGGCCGGCGGCGCCTCCGGCGCCTCCGGCTCCAGTACTGGTTCGACCGCTACTGGGAGGGCCTCGAGCGCGAGCGCGAGGAGCGCGAGGCCTTCGAGCGCGCGCGCGCGGACGCGGCCGCGGCGTCGCGCGCGGGCAAGACCAAGGCCGCGGCCGACCGGCGGAAGACGCGGATGACGCGGCGCGCGTCCGCCGTCGTCTTCGACGGCGCGGCGGCGCACCTCCCCGGCTCCTCCTTCGGCATCATCTCCGACGCGCAGCACGCGGGCGACGTCGCGCTCCGGTTCCTCGGCCTCGCGAGCCACCGCGCGGCGCTCGCCAAGGCCATCGCCGAGTGCGCGGAGGACAAGGGCGAGGGCGAGGCCGTCACGGCCCGGGACGTGCTCGAGTGCCTCGTGGACTGCATGGAGGAGGAGGGCATCAAGATCGGCGGGCCAACGGCGCTGAGCGAGGACTTCGCGGCGAAGATCGGCTTCTTCCCGGCCTTCGGCGCCGAGCCCGCGGCCGGCGCGGACGCGGGCTTCGCGGGCTTCCTCGAGCGGCGCACGGACCACATGTCCTTCCTCGCGTTCGGCGGCGAGGCGGACCACGGGCCCGGCGCCGCGTTCGCCGCGGTCCAGTCCTGGATCGAGGCGCAGCAGCCGCCCTTCCCGACGCAGGAGGACCTCCTCTGGCTCCAGCGCGAGTTCGGCACTGTGTGGAAATCAACCACTGGTTTGGCCCCCCCCCCACCAAACTTCAGAACTCTCTATCTCGGCCAATTCGAAGTCGATTTGGCTGATTTTTGGACGAATCGATTGCTCTCGTCGAGTTCTTGAAGCGCAGTCGAAGAGTCTGGTCCAAACCGTTCGATGACGCGCACATTGAAGTCGGGTTGAAGATTTGATTTCCAAACAGGTTCGGCATGCGGTCCGACGGCACGATGGTCGGCCGCCGCGCGGCGCCGCCGCCGCGCGGCGACGACGGCGCGCCCGTGCCGCCCCTCGACCTCGGCGGCGGCGGCGACGGCGCCGCCGCCGGGGCGCCCCTCGCGGGCCTCTTCGGCGACAAGGCGTGCCAGACGGACGAGTCCGCGCTCGACGGCAAGGCGCCCGGCGGCTTCAAGGGCAAGGGCAAGGCGCGCGGCGGCGGCGGCCGCGGCAACCGCCGCGGCGGCGGCGGCGACGGCGACGACGACTTCGGCGACGGCGGCGGCGCGCACCGCGGCCGCGGCGGCCGCGGCGGCGGCGGCGGCGGCGACGACGACTCGTTCGGCGTCGCCGACGGCCGCGGCGGCGGGCCCCGGGACGGCGCCGGCGGCATCAAGGACAAGGACGCGACGTCGAACGTCGCCGTCTCGTCCGTCTGCCAGCTCATCCCGCTCCTCTACGACCGGCTCATCGACGTCTGCGCGGGCAACGTCGGCGAGGCCATGAAGGTCAAGGTCCAGGAGCTCGGCAAGCACGCGCTCATCCGGCGCTTCGGCATCAAGTCCATCGCCATCAACTACTTCAACGGCCTCATGCGCACGGTGAAGCTCTGCACGGACCGCGAGCTCCGCATCAAGCTCTTCTGCGTCGTCTTCTCCATCGAGCCCGAGCGCAAGGGCGAGGGCGCGTCGTCGTCCGCCGCGGGCGCCGGCCGGGGCCGCAAGGGCCGGTCCGCGTCGACGGCCCTCGGGAGCGACGAGGCCGCGGACGTCGGCCGGTCGAACAAGCTCAGCAAGCGCGAGGAGGTCGAGCGGCGCCAGCGCGCCGCGGGCGTCATCGCCATCTTCTGCGACCTCTGGCACAACTACTTCAACAGCCTCCAGGTCATCGAGGCGACGAAGATGCAGCAGGAGAAGCTCAACACGCGGCGCCGCGTCCGCGA